GTTCTAATTAAAAGAGGAATAAATAAGCAGCATTTGATCATTTGTACAAGTAAATCAACGGTAGATATCTACTTTGACCCATTGAACATTAGCAGCCATGACCCACAGCTATTATTCCAACTATTGAATCCTTAGATGAATATTTTCGTTCTCATGCGGGCATAACGGGTACAACACTCAACCTCAAAGGCGGTCGAGATCATTGTGCTCACTGCTAGCTTTTTCCCTCTCATTTGAGAGTTTCCATCAATGTCAAAATGCAAAAGTTCTGGATGGTCGACAAGATATCTGAAGTAAGCATGAAGATGATTGTCAGGCATCAAAGTAGCACCAGCACCAAGCGCTTGCTTCTGGAACTGCTCTACCAATTTCTTCAGATTCTTCAAGTTATCAGGGCCTGGATTTTTCAGGTTGAACCATTCAATTAAACAAGTTCTAATATATAATAGTGTATAGATTAAGGGTTGGTTTTGGTGATTGCAGTGTTTATATTGTTGAGACGAGATTAACACGAAGAAATCAAAGGTTTCTTCAAACATTTGTAATATTTCATGGTTGATACTTAGTGGATCTAGAGCTATATCTTTTGTGGATGCTCAACAGGTGATTAGGTCTTTGTGACTGAATATCCGGACCCTACGGGGTGAAAAATTGCGTGTTCAGTGCTGTTTTTATGATTCTGCACTTATATTGTTCTTTGTGATCTTCGATCCTTTGGTATCTATTGTTTTGGGACCTTACATCTGTAAGTTTAGAAGGCAAATTTCATTCCCAAACTTGTGTTAATGTTCAAAAATTTGAATGAGGCACATTTCGTGGTGATTATATGACCATTTAATTACGATTTTGATCGCTATAGAGATTTATCATTCACCACAATGAAAAGTTGTGGGATTATCGTGCTCTTTATAAAGGTTGCATACCAACTTATGAAGACAATAGATTGGAAACGCTAACAATGCAATTTTCTTTGTCAGGACATGACTTAATAGGATCCACACAAATCAATTATGAAGCCAATTTGCATTCTTTACTCTATATTCGCTTCATTATTGAGCAACTTGCACTCACTCTAGGTCGATTCTTTGTTGGTCCCATATGTTTTACTGTCAGCGTGACAAAAAATTCATAGTTTCCGGAGTTCCTTGCTCAGCTCGATTCGGGCCAAAAAAAGCTCGGCCCTTTTTGGCTCGACCCTTTTTGGCTAGAGCCAAGAGCTTCGAGTTTCGGTTCGTGGCTCGGCTCGGCTCGACTCGTTGCCACGAATATATATATATGTTTTGTATAAACATTAAGTAAAACCGTGCAGATTGGGCGGTCGCGCGTTGGCTCTTGCGTCCAAGATGCTTAGATTCGATTCCCTTTCATGGCACTCCTCCTTTTAATTTCTAAACACAGTAAATAATAATTAACTTTTAATATATAATTGTATAAACTTCAACAATATGGAGGGTAGCTCATATGGCAGTGGGGTTACTTAGTATCCAAAAGGTATGGGGTTCAATTCCATGTGATCCACCTTTTTGTTTAATTTTTTTCATACAATAAATATTAAATAAACAATTA